TGGTCTTGAACCCCTGGGCTCAGGCAGTCCTCTCACCTCTGCCTTCCAAAGTGCTGGAATTACAGGTACCAAGCCACCATGCCCAGTGAGCCTGATCGGTGTATTTGTTTATTTGTTTCGGAGTCTCACTGTCACCCAGGCTGGAGTAGAGTGCAATGGCACGTTCACGGCCACCGTAACCTCAACCTGCTGGACTCAGGTGATCCTTTTGCCTCAGCCTTCTAAATAGCTGGAACTGCAGGCTACAGGTGTGTGCCACCACGCCCAGCTAATTTTTTTGATTTATTGTAGAAATGAGGTTGCCCAGGCTGGTCTGGAACCCTGGTCTCAGGCAAACCTCTTGCCTCAGCCTCCCAAAGTGCTGGGATTATAGACGTGAGCCACCATGCCCGACTGAAGGAGCCACGATCTTAAAGGAAAAAAAGAAATATCTGACCGGGCTCAGTGGCTCAGCCTGAAATCCCAGCACTTTGGGAGGCTGAGGCGAGTGGACTGCCTAAGCCTGCGGGTTCAAGACCAGCCCAGGCAACTTGGTGAGACCTCGTTTCTATAATAAATAAAAAATTAGCTGGGCATGGTAGTGTGTGCCTGTAGTTCTGGCTATTTGGAAGGCTGAGGCGGGAGGATCGTTGAAGCCCAGCAGGTCAATTCTGTGGTGGCCGTGAGTGTGCCACCGTATTTCAGCCTGGGTGACAGAGTGAGACTCAATTATCTGTAAAAATTAGCCATTAACTGTGGTATTTTACTTCATCTTTGAAATTCAGCTTATGAATAAACACATTTTGGCTGGGCTTGGTGGCTCAGCCTGTAATCCCAGTGCTTTGGGAGGCCAAGGTGAGTGGATTGCCTGAACCCACGGGTTCCAGACCCACCTGGGCAGCTTGGCGAGACCCCATCTCTGCAATAACATAAAAATTAGCCGGGTATGGTAGCGCATTCCTGTAGTTCCAGCTATTTGGAAGGCTGAGGTGGAAGGATCGCCAGAGCCTAGCAGGTCGAGGCTGCAGTGGCCGGGAGTGTGCCACTGCACTCCAGTCTGGGCGATGGAGTGAGACTCCAACTCCAAAAAAGAAAAAAATAAAAAAAAAACCAGATTTTGATGGTTCCAAATAAAAGAGAAATATTTCATGGAAAAATTTGAGGTAAATGGAATCTGGTTAACGGTACAGAATGAATTATACATTTTAAAACCATAAAATATAAATTAAACACCAACAAGACAGGGTTTTGCTTTTTAAATATTATTTATCTATTACTAGTGTGGGGAATAAGTGGTTCTAAAGATGGATTCATGACCCAGCCTTATAACCATAGTGCCACCAGGCGCTGGGCCATTGCTAGCTGCCAGCATGAGGCATCTTAATTCATTGCTTTATTGAGGCCCTCAGGGTTTGTTTATTGATTCATTCATTAATCAATTTATTTATTCAACAGGTATTAAAAGCAACTGTTCGCCTAAGAAAGTTCTGAGATAGAATGTTATAATGATAATACGAGAGCTTCTGTAAGTAGGACAGTAGCCCTCTCTTTTCAAAGGAGATACCCCCCCCATGTTTGTTTTTGTATTTTTTTTTTTTGAGTTGGAGTTTCACTCTGTCACCCAGACTGGAGTGCAGTGGCCACTCCCTGCAGCCTTGACCTGCTGGGTTTCGGCAATCCTACCGCCTCAGCCTTCCAAGTAGCTGGAACTACAGGCGTGGACTACCACGTCCAGCTAATTTTTGATTTATTGTAGAGATGAGGTCTGGCCAAGTTGTCCGGGCAGGTCTCAAACCCACGGGCTTAGGCAATCCACTCACCTAGGCCTCCCAAAGGGGTGGGATTACAGGCTGAGCCACCGAGCCCAGCCTTTTATTTTTAGCAAAAGGTATTACAAAAAGATTGTTTTAAATCCCATTTACAGTCTTACAGTCTTGTGTTTTTCCTTTGTTAATGTATACTCATACCTATATAATATTTTAAAGCATTCCCAATTTCTTTTTCTTTTTTTTTTTTTTTTTGAGTTAGAGTCTCACTCCGTCGCCCAGACTGGAGTGCAATGGCCGCTCCCGGCCACTGCAGCCTCGACCTGCTGGGCTCCGGCAATCCTTCCGCCTCAGCCTTCCTAGTAGCTGGAACTACAGGCGTGGGCTACTGCACCCAGCTAATTTTTTAAATTTATTGTAGGGATGAGGTCTTGCCAAGTTGCCCAGGTGGGTCTCGAACCCATGGGCTCAGGCAATCTACTCACCTCAGCCTCCCAAAGCCCGGTATTACAGGCTGAGCCACCGAGCCCGGCTGCATTCCCAATTTCTTATTTGCTAAGTATGTGAAATCATTGTAGGAATTCCTTTACCTACAAAGTCTTCTAAGTAATTTTTTTTTTTTTTGAGTTAGAGTCTCACTCTGTCACCCAGACTGGAGTGCAGTGACTGCTCCTGGCCACCGCAGCCTCGACCTGCTGGGCTCCAGCGATCCTTCCGCCTCAGCCTTCCGAGTAGCCGGAATTACAGGCACGTGCTACCATGCCCGGCTAATTTTTTGATTTATTGTAGAGATGAGGTCTCGCCTGCCCGGGCAGGTCTTGAACCCACGGGCTCAGGCAGTCCACTCACTTCAGCCTCCCAAAGGCGCGGGAGTACAGGCTGAGCCACCGAGCCCGGCTCTTCTAAGTATTTTAAGTGTACTATATTTTCTCAAGTTTGAGGTTGTAGATTTTATAGAATATTATATTTTTCTACCTCTAAGTCAGAGGACCCAGTCTGAGAAAGAACAGCTGTGAGTGTGCTTTTCTGTTTTATGAAATGTCTAATAAACAGGTGGAAGAGTCAGCCTCATTAGGTATTCTGGAAATGTAAATTGGAATAAGAGTATTTACTGGCTGGACTCCATGTCTCAGCCTGTAATCCCAGCACTCACTGAGGTGAGTGGATTGCCTGAGCCTTGAGTTTGAGACCAGCCTGGACATCTTGGCGAGACCTCGTCTCTACAATAAAATCAAAACTTAGCCGAATGCGGTAGTGCATGCCTGTAATTCTGCTACTTGGAAGGCTGAGGTGGAAGGATTGCTGGAGCCCAGCAGAGCGACGCTGGGGTGGCCATGAGCCTGTCACTGCACTCCAGCCTGGGCGATGGAGTGAGACTCTGACTCAAAACAAAACAAAACAGTGTTGTTTATTTATCAGATTGTTAGAATTTGAAATTTGAACACTGATTTATTCCAGTGGTGGAGAGGAGATGAGGAAAGGATGTACCTGTACACTGGTGGTGGGAATATAACTTTGTATACTAGTTTTAGAGGGTGATTTTGGAGGTCAAGTGAAGATACATTCAGTATTTATCTGTATTATAGAATTACCTATGCAGGTACAATGGTTTTATGGTCAACATGTTCAAGAACTTTCACCTTTATTCATAAGATATAAAAGTGAAGCCACCTATTAGTGTTGCTTAAATAATTGTATATATGATGATTACTGCATTTCAAATACTGGAATATAACTTTATGAACCGACAGGAATAGATGGCAATGCTAATGAGGAAGGAATTCATGTGGCAGTATTTTCTATATTGTAAAAAGGCACAAATTATTATAACTGTGTATTAAAAGATACTTAAAAGAATACAGTGAAATACACCAAACTGTTGGGATTAGGGAGCGAGGAAGTTAGAAGACTTACTTTTTATCTTCTCTCTTCTGAAGGGTGAGTAAAACAATTAAAAAGCACAAAAGAGAAAATAGAGGGTTTTTTTTTTTTTTTTGAGTTGGGGTCTCACTCTGTCGCACAGACTGGAGTGCAGTGGCCGTTCCCAGCCACCGCAGCCTCAGCCTTCCAAGTAGCCGGATCTATAGGCATGTGCTACCATGCCCGGCTGATTTTTTGATTTATTGTAGAGATGAGGTCTCACCACCCAGGCGGGTTTTAAACCTGCGGGCTCAGACGATCCACTCTCCTCAGCCTCCCAAAGGCGCGGGATTACAGGCTGAGCCACCAAGCCTGGCTGAGACATTTTTAAAATGCTTTTTACCAGTTTTTGACTTCAGTTGCAGAGTGGGGATTTCGTCTGTAGGTGGGGAAATTTTTCTTAAGTGTCCCAGCAAAAATATCTCCTTGTTTATCAAATCACTAATTTTAACAGGATCACTGTTGCGGAATCACTTTGGCTGCCTTTTTTTAAATTGGTGCCTGGAACCTCCTAGGGCCATCCTAATATTGTTTGTTTCTACTTTTCCAGTAGTTCTAGATGCTTAAGTGTGTTGAAGGAGAAAAAGTTTTAAATGCTACTAATTGTTTAACTAGAGGGCAAAGTTTCCTTTAATGTGGCAAACTAAACGAGACAGTTCAATATATTCTTATATTTTAAAAATAAAATGCCAGCTTCTAATTTTTGAATTTGAACTCATGAATGGTTAAGGGGTTTGCTTTTAAGTTGAAGAATAGTTGACTTTTTTCTTATCAGAAGTTGTATTTTTTATATTTGAGTAGTTATTATATAACCTGATGTCAGAGTTTCCCCATAGATGGTGTATAGTACATAGACACAGTTGTCCCTTAGGAATTGGCCAACATTGAATCAACAAATACTCTGTAACTTTGTAAATTTAGTTTTTAGGGCGGTGATAGGTATTTCTAACAAATGTATGCATTAGAACACTTAAAAAAGAACTGTTAAACACCCTTTGAATTTGTTTTAAAAAGACTCGTAGATGTTTAGTATTTAATTTTTTGATATTAACTGAACCTCAAAAATTTTTTTCTTCCTTTATATGTATTCCCATATGATTGTAGGAGTCTATCCTGAACTTAGATCGTGTACATTTTGGCAACTTATTTTAGAAAATATCTAAGTTTTAAAAATTCTCAATGGACAGACAGAGAAAAGAGGGTCTTTGCCAACTCCTTTGGGTAAGAAAACTTTAGAATTTTGCAGATACTCTAAAAAATGAAGGCCAACAAAGTAAGCTTATCACCTTGTAAAGTTTCCAAATAAAAGTTCTTTGTCATGATTTTTTTCTTCAGACGACTGCAGTAAGAATGTCTTTCCCCCCTCATTTGAATCGCCCTCCTATGGGAATCCCAGCACTCCCACCAGGGATCCCACCCCCACAGTTTCCTGGCTTCCCTCCACCAGTACCTCCAGGTGAGTTTGTTGACTAACTTTAGGAAAATGTTAGGTTTGTGTCTATGTTAGTAGTAAAGATATTTTTCAGCATCTTTCTGGAAATGTGGATGTCTCGTTTTCCTGTGGCAGTAGCTTTTCTGCCTGAGTACCAAACTCTAGAAGTTAAAAGAAAATTCTGTATTTAAAAATGGGTAATACACTTACATGGTTCAAAAGTAGAAAAATATAGAAAGTTATACAGTGAAAAATTTTCCTCACATATCCACATGGCTGCTGTAGTAATGTTACCCATACTGAAAAAGGGAAACACAGTAGGGTCATCAGTTCTTTCTTTAGCTTTCCAGATCTTTTTTTGTTTGTTTGTTTTTTCTTTTTTGAGTTGGAGTCTCACTCGGTTGCCTAGACTAAAGTGCAGTGGCCGCTCCCAGCCACCGCAGCCTTGTCTGCTGGGCTCTGGCTATCCTTCTGCCTCAGCCTTCCGAGTAGCCGGAATTACAGGCATGCGCTACCACACCCAGCTGATTTTTTTGATTTTTATTGTAGAGATGAGGTCTCGCTGCCCAGGCGGGTCTCAAACCCACAGGCTCAGGCAATCCACTCACCTCAGCCTCCCAAAGGCGCAGGATTACAGGCTGAGCCACTGAGCCCGGCATCTTTCCAGATCTTTATTTTTATTTTTTATTTTTTTTTTGAGTTGGAGTCTCACTTTGTGACCCAGACTGGAGTGCAGTGGCCACTCCTGACCACCGCAGCCTCGACCTGCTGGGCTCCGGCGATCCTTCTGCCTCAGCCTTCCGAGTAGCTGGAACTACAGGCATGCGCTACCACGCCTGGCTAATTTTTGATTTATTGTAGAGATGAGGTCTTGCCAAGTTCCCCAGGCGGGTCTTGAACCTGCGGGCTCAGGCACTCCACTCACCTCAGCCTCCCAAAGGCGTGGGATTACAGGCTGAGCCACCGACCCTGACTGTCCAGATCTTTAAAAATGCATATTATAAGCCAACATAAGTAGAGAGTTATGGATTTTTTTTTTTTTTTTTTTTGAGTTAGAGTCTCACTTCGTCACCCAGACTGGAGTGCAGTGGCACACTCACGGTCACCCCAGCGTTGACCTGCTGGGCTCCGTCAATTCTTCCACCTCTGCCTTCCAAGTAGCCAAAACTACAGGCATGCGCTAACATGCCCGCTATTTTTTTATTTATTGTAGAGATGAGGTCTTGCCAAGTTGCCTGGGTTGGTCTCGAACCTGCGAGCTCAGGTAATCTGCTTGCATTGTCCTCCCAAAGTGGTGGAATTACAGGCTGAGCCACCGAGCCTGGCCTATGGGGTTTTTAAAAATGTTCAGACCCTAACCCAAATTTCTGAATCAGATTCTCAGAAATTTGGACCCAGGAATCTTAATTTTTACCAAGCACTCATATAATTTACATTCATTTTAGCATGGAGAACCTATATTTGAGCACTATTATTCTGAAATACATAGGTAATTGCTTTGTCCAGGCACAGTGCCATGAACCTCTAGTCTTAGCTCCTTAGGAGTCTGAGATGGAAGGAACATGTGACCACAGGAGTTCAAGTCTAGCCTGGACAACAAAGTGAGACACTCCCATTTTTTTTTTTTTTTGAGCTGGAATCTCACTCTGTCATCCAGGCTCGTGTGGCCCGCACTTGGGCACTGTAGCCTCACTGTAACCATGAGGCAAAGCCCTGATGTTGTAGGAGTTATATGGAAGAATAGTTTACATTTCTTTTTTTTTTCCGAGTTGGAGTTTTACTCTGTTGACCAGGCTGGAGTGCAGTGGCACATTCACGGCCACCGTAGCCTTGCCCCGCCAGGCTTAGGTGATCCTCCTGCCTCAGCCTTCCAAATAGCTGGAACCACTGGTATGTGCCACCACACCTGGCTAGTTTTTTTTTTTTTATTTATTGTAGAGGTGAAGTCTTGCCATGTTGCTGAGTGTGGTCTGGAGCCTGTGGGCTCAGGCAGTCATCTCACCTCTGCCTCCCATAGTGCTGGAATTACAGGCATGAGCCATTGTAGTTGGCTGCTTTCTGTTTCTTTATAAAGAAAGTTTAGGGGTTGGGAGTGATGTTTAATCACTTATTCAGAATTAGGATGGTTAATGGAAAATTCACTGTAATTTCTTTAACAGTAGATTGGGTTTGTAGAAAAAATTTTAAATTTTTTGTTTTTTGTTTTTTTGAGTTGGAGTCTCAGTCTGTCGCCCAGACTGGAGTGCAGTGGCCACTCCCGGCCACCGCAGCCTCAACCTGCTGGGCTCCGGCAATCCTTCCACTCAGCCTTCCAAGTAGCTGGAACTACAGGCGCGCACTACCACACCCGGCTAATTTTTGATTTATTGTAGAGACCTGCCAAGTTGCCTGGACGGGTCACAAACCTTTTTTTGTTTTGTTTTGTTTTGAGTTGGAGTTTCACTCTGTCGCCCAGACTGGAGTGCAATGGCTGCTCCCGGCCACCGCAACCTCGACCTGCTGGGCTCCGGCGATCCTTCCGCCTCAGCCTTCCAAGTAGCCGAATTACAGGCATGCGCTACCACGTCTGGCTGATTTTTTGATTTATTGTAGAGATGAGGTCTCGCTGCCTATGCGGGTCTCGAACCCGCGGGCTCAGGCAATCCACTCACCTCAGCCTCCCAAAGGCGCGGGATTACAGGCTGAGCCACCGAGCCTGGCTTTTTTTTTTAAACTGTAGAGATGAGGTCTCACCAGGTTGCCCAGGCTGGTCTCAAACCCCTGTGCTCAGATAGTCCTCTTGCCTCTGCCTAACAAAATACCAGGATTACTGGAGTGAGCCTTCGTGCCTGATCTCGAAATCTGATTTTCCTATCTTTTAATTTGCTGTAGATTTATTGATAAGAATCTTGGTTTGGGCCAACTGCTGTGGCTCAGCCTATAATCCCAGCACTTTGGGAGGCTGAGGCAAGACGATTGCCTGAGCCTAGGGGTTGGAGAGCAGCCTGGGCAACTTGGTGAGACCTCATCTCTAAAATAAATCACAAAAACTAACTGGGTGTTATGGCATGCATGTAGTTTCACCTACTTGGAAGACTGAGGCAAAAAGATTGCCTAAAAGCCCAGCAGGTTGAGACCACGGTGACTGTGAGCATGCCACTGTACTCTAGCCTGGGCGACAAGAGTGAGACTCCAACTCAAAAAAAAAAAAATTTTTGAATTTTGCCTTTTAAAAATCATCATATGAAAATTTTAAGTTATTCTCAATAAGAGCAAACTAAAGGAATAGGGTTAATTTTTTTTAAGTTTTTAATTTTTTTTTTTTTTTTTAATTGGAGTCTCACTCTGTCGCCCATACTGGAGTGCAGTGGCCGTTCCCGGCCACCACAGCCTCGACCTGCTGGGCTCCGGCGATCCTCCAACCTCCATCCAGTGCGATCCTTCAGCCTCTGCCTTCTGAGTAGCTGGAATTACAGGCATGGACTGCCACGCCGAGCTGATTTTTTGATTTATTGTAGAGATGAGGTCTGGCTGCCCAGGTGGGTCTCGAACCCGCGGGCTCAGGCAGTCCACTCACCTCAGCCTCCCAAAGGCGCGGGATTACAGGCTGAGCCACCGAGCCCAGCCAAAGTTTTTTAGTTTTGAAAGATTTATTTATTTATTTATTTATTTGTTTATTTATTTATTTATTTATTTATTTGAGTTGGAGTCTCACTCGGTCGCCTAGACTGGAGAGCAGTAGCCGCTCTCGGCCACTGCAGCCTCGCCTGCTGGGCTCCGGCAATCCTTCCGCCTCAGCCTTCTGAGTAGCCGGAATTACAGGCATGCGCTACCACGCCTGACTGATTGTTTGGTTTATTGTAGAGTTGAGGTCTCACTGCCCAGGCGGGTCTCAAACCCGCAGGCTCAGACAATCCACTCACATCAGCCTCCCAAAGGCGCGGGATTACAGGCTGAGCCACCGAGCCCGGCTTTATTTATTTATTTTGAGGACAGAAAAACTCCCACAGTGGGAGAGGACCCAAAGGGGTTACCCTATTTTTTTATTTTTTAATCTTTATTTTTTTAGTTGCATTCTTACTCTGTCACCCAGGCTCGAGGCAGTGGCACGTTCACAGTCACCGTAGCCTCAACCTTCTGTGTTCAGATTATCATTCCTCCTCAGCCTTCCAAGTAGCTGGAACCACAGTTGTGCACCACCATGCCTGGCTAAAGGGTTAATTGTTTAAGAATTTATTACCAGTCTTAGGGTGAATTTCCTTACATTGATAGTACATTTAAACTAAAGCGTGATTTTAGAACTTCTTGAGACATTTAAGAGCATTTAAAAATTTCTTCTAGAAGGCCTACATGGTTTCTTAGCACTTTGAGTGACAGAGGAGAGAGGTTTGCCTGAGCCCAGACGTTGGAAGGCTGAGTTGGACTGATCGCTGGAGCCCAGCAGGTCGACACTGGGGTAGCCGTGAGTGTTCCACTGCACTCCAGTCTGGGTGGTGGAGAGACTCTAACTCAAAAAAGACAAAAATGAAAAAAACTTCTACTATGTTGTGTATAGTAAATAGCCCATTGACAACTTTTTAATCCTCAGAATGAGTTATTCAGAGCAGTAGATGGTTGTTTTAGAGATATGTTTCCTCTTTGATAGTGGGTTAGATGACTGGTCTCACTTTTTGCATGATTTTCATTTTTTGTCCTTTTTTTTAAGAGACAGGGTCTAGCTGTGTTGAGCACACTGGAGTACAGTGGTGTCATCATAGTTCACTGTAGCTGCAAGTAGCTGGTACCATATGTGTGACTTTCTATTTTTTTTTTTAAATAGAACCAGGAATAACAAGATTCTTTTTTTAAAATTTAATTTAATTTAATATAATTTTTAATTTTTTGAGTTGAAGTCTCACTCTGTCGCCCAGACTGGAGTGCAGTGGCCACTCTCGGCCACCGCAGCCTCG